GCTGCCCTTGCCGTAAAATCCCTGCTCCCACAGGGCTCTCATTGATTTTTCATCAGTGACATGAACGGAAAAGGTTTTCTTGGACCAAACACCTCGGTGGACGACTGCAGGTTCCGCAGGGGGCGGAGCGAATACCTGCCGGAGCCATGCATAGGCAACGGCGAAGAATGATAAGGGATTATTGGGGTAGAAGGCTGGTAGAGGAAATGTCCGAATCGGGGCAGGGAGTGCATATATCTGATGGACAGGGGGGCCTCGTTTTCGAGAGTTTGCGCTTTTGGTGCTGGCCTGCGCTGGAGGGGCCATCACTTGGCCATTTTCTTTGGGGGGTTGTTGAATCTCAGCCATTTCGAGCTGGAATCATCTTGCTTGGTAATGTTAGCGAATTTCACTAACTCAACGAGATGGCAGTAGAGCAAAAAGAGAAGGCAATAATAAAAAACACTGCATCAGATACCGTTGTAGTCTATAATCAAGGGCAATCATCGAGGTCCAAGTGAATGGAGAATTCCTCTAAGCACAAAGATAGGTGTCATCATATAGCAGGGTGAACAGGGCTTGCGTAGGTCCGGTTCTAAAACAAAGAAAAAAGGCATTTCACCATTGGAATATGCCCACCGACAGCGGAAGGCCGGGTTTCGGAGCCGCAACACGATTGGCACAGGCAAGACACTCGGATGAAATGGAAAAAGGTCAAAACTTACTCTGTCTACCACATGGCCACGCAAGGCTGCTCAAATGAGAGATGGACCAGTAGGACCATTCGTAGAGCAGACTGACCAAGCTGTGAGGGTTTTGCAGTTAGGCAGGCGAGGCCTATTATGAAAGTCTTTTTGTGGAGGAGACAATGTTGCGAAGATCGAGGTGTCGCAGGAGTGGAAGTTGAAATTTTATGAGGTTTCCTGTCCGAGCTCTTGGCTAAACTGCGGCTACTTGCTCCACTTTTTTGCAGCCGGCTCATGGTGAGGGCCAAGTACCATCCACGAGGTAGCCTGCACTGTGCAGCGAGTTGTTGGAGTTTCTCAGCGGCGCCGATCACTTGGCACAGGATCCTCCAAAGCCAGGGAGTAGATGACAGGTCAGTGGCGCTGCCAGGCAAGCCAGCTGGTCGCACAACGGAGTACTAGTACTGCTACGTTGACATGTCAGCTTCTCGCATCTTTGGTCAAGTCCGCTTTGGTCCCGTCTCCGTGAAGGCCCATCATGATACGTAGAACTGTTCCCATCTCCCTTCTCCAGTGGCCCTGGGACCCCAAGCTGACCATAGCAACAACCACGACGCCCCTTACCATTAGCCCTCAGCCCTGGTTTAGTGCTCGGCGACACCCACAGACTGCTGGAGGCCGATGCAGGTGACGATTGTTGTCAGGGACCACATTTGAGACCACGCCTGCATGACACCCAGCGTCGACGTGGAACTCGTTCGGTGATGAGGTTTGCTCTGGCGTCCGAGTAATTGCTACTTCACCCTGCAAGTTGCAATTTGTGGTGGCCCCTCGGCGACGACGGAACAACCCGACGACGACACTTGCCAAAGTTGGAATGCACTCACCCTCCTGGGGTCCTGTGCTCCAACGCTCTTGCTTTACATCATTGCTCGCACTTAATTTCATTTTATTTCCTTCTTTCAGCTTTTCCTCCTTTTCTCCAATTTCTTTTTCTTCCTCTTCTACCTCCATCAACCACCGCTATCAGGCTGGACATCTACAACGCACCCGCCAGCCATCACTCGGCGTCGAGACCACCTTCAAGGACACGCCATGCTTTCTGGGCAAGCTTTGAAATGGGATCCTTCGTCGAGATTGTTGCCGTAATCTGTCTCATCTGGGCCGTCGCAGTCGTGATTGTCCAGGGAATTGGTATTGCCGCAATGTAAGCCTGGTCCCAAATCCCATGTCCCATCGATACATAGGGGGGGCAGCAACGTGAATTTGCCAGCATACTGACGCCCTTTACCGTAGTTTTCGACACTTTTCAAGAGCTGCATCGCCACCCGTCTCCTCAAAACTCGCCCAAGATGCTCCTTCGATTACAATAATCCGCCCCGTCAAAGGCCTCGAACCTCGACTCTACGAATGCATCGCATCTACATTCCAACAAGATTATCCCGCTGATAAATTGTCCGTCCGCCTATGTGTTGAGGACGAGACCGACCCCGCCTATCCAGTACTGCAGAAGCTGGTCCACGACTTTCCATCCTTCGATGCCCAGGTTCTTGTGGAATCTCGTGATCCAATCCTGCATGGCACCAAGGGCCGTGTTGACAACTTAGGGCCAAATCCCAAGGTGCGCAATATCAGTAGGGCATACCGAGAAGCCAAGGAGGGAGACATTATATGGATAATCGACTGTAATGTCTGGGTGGCAAGCGGTGTGCTCGGGCGCATGGTGGACAAGCTAATGGGATACGGACCGGCCGGAACCTCGACCACACCATACAAATTTGTTCATCAGATGCCACTGGTTGTTGACGTGGTGGATTACAGCCGTCCGGGGACTGAATACAACCAAGTTCTCTTGTCATCGCCCTCGGAAGCTGGGGCTTCCTCCAGCACCGCCAAAGAATCCCAAGACCTCCTTACCCGCATTTGTCGCCACGGAGGCGGTCGCCTTGACGAGATGTTCATGGCAACTACACATGTCAAGTTCTATGGCGCGATCAACTCTGTTGGTATTGCACCCTGTATTGTAGGGAAAAGCAACATGTTTCGAAAAGCGCATCTCGATCGGGTGACGATGGAATCGAGCAATCGCATGCTACGCGATGGAGACGAAAGGCCCAAGGGGGTAGACTATTTTTCCTACAACATCTGCGAAGATCATCTCATTGGCGATATACTGTGGAGGTCAGCCATTCCAGGCTACTCAAATCATGGAATTGTCTGGGGTGATTTGGTCATACAACCCATGGCAGGCATGTCGATTGTCTCGTATGCCGCCCGGCGTGTTCGATGGCTACGAGCAAGAAAGTTCACAGTGCTGGCAGCCACCCTGGTCGAACCGGGCATCGAATGCTTCCTCTGCTGCGCCTACTTTGCCTTTGCCCTCACCACTCTTCCCTGGTTCCACAAGACGCTGCACATTCCCCAGACCATGTCAGCCATGGCCCTGATCTGGCTCTCAGCAGTGACGGCATGGATGCTGGTCGACTGGCAGACATTCAAGCTCCTACACTCGGGCTGGAGCGTGCAGTGCGGCCGTGATAGTCCCCAATTTGTGCGTGGCACATCACAGGCCGGCGGAATGCCCAGACGAGGATTCTTGGAATGGCTTTTGGCATGGATTGGAAGAGAAAGCCTGGCGTTGCCGGTTTGGACGTGGGCTGTTTTATGCGGAACGACGGTAACATGGCGAGGCAAGTCTTTCCGAGTCAACATGGACACATCGGTGGTTGAGGTGGCAGGGGGCGTGACGAGAAAGAGCTCACGCACGCCAGAGTTGGAGAGGTCGAGACAATCGAGCAAAGATCGGTTGGACTAGGTGCTCATGGTGGCCTTAGATTCTTGTTATTATTACCTACTATTGTTACTTATTACGCGTATGTGCTGTAATGACTACAAGGCATATTAATATCAGGCCGAGCAAGCATGGTATTGATGGGCAAGGTCCCAAGTCCAGCATTCGTGATTGGATTCGTCCTGGCCCATGACATCCTGTCCAGGAGCTGTGTTCTGCCCCGGGCCGCAATGGCAACGAGTGTGCAATCAATCAGCGAAGACAGTATGATGGGAGATCAAGGCCATGTCTTCAAGAGCAACGACATGATACATGTTTGCCTCTTGATTTTGGTTGGTGAAGAGGCACTAACAGCTAGATCCCAGACAGAGCAGCACGGCTCTTTGTCTCAATGATTGGATATGTTTTCCCCGCACATGGGCAGCCCCCAACTGCAGGCTCGAGTGCGAATTAGGAAAGTGGGAGGGCTCGTGGCATGCAACAAGAAGCTCGGTGGTTTGCCGATCTTCCCAGATGTCATTTTTCTGCTTTTTCTACCTAGAGCTCTGATGTTGTGCTGTGCTGTGTTGTGTTGGAGAGTTCGGACTCGTCTTCCTGTGTGCGGGCTGTGAGCGAGCGAGTGCTTTGGCCAACAGCGATCCTCGATGATGCTGGATACTACTTACTGGTCAGGTTGGACAATACGCAAGGATGACGGTGTAGCGCAGGTCGGTCGATTTGGTCGTGCCATGGACCGGAGTAGACGCTGCATGTGGGGGTTTTTAGGCCGCGGGGGAGACGAGACGAAAGACTTGACGGGAACCACGAGATGGGGTCCCCTGGGCGTTTTTTTTTTTTTTTTTCCCTGGGTCTCGTCGGCGGCCGGCGGGTAGCTTTTTGGTGTTTTCATGCCGTTTTGGCGCGGCGCCACTTTTGACTGAACGGCCTCTGGTCTGCGGGCTGTGAGAAGATGTCCACTGCTTCCACGGGGTGACAAGTCAACTAACTGGTGTCACGCCTGCGGAGGGTCAATATCTCGCGGCCAGGAATGCCTGCTTATCCAGCTCCCTGTTCCGGAAGATGGTCACGGGTTGAGCCGATGTAACCGTGGAGCAGCCGAAACAACAACTACACACGACACGACGACTAACGGAAAGGAGGGGGAACATGCTTGATCGGGAACGACCCCGAACTCGCTGTTTGGAGAAGCACTCGACTGATCTCATTATTCGGCCCTGGGTTATGTTTCCCCGCAAGATTGTACGACGGCGGCCCGTCCGGAGCACACGAGCAGACGGGCAGGCTAGCAGACGCCCTGATGCGTAGTCTGTAGACTGAGACAGAGACAGAGACATTGCCGTTTTGCGGCAGGGCACTTTGTTGCGCATATTTGAAGAATGGCCCCGGCCACCAGGTGGAAAAAAGATCCCGAGGGATTCTCTCCCCCGGACCAAGGGACTCTCACTTACACGATATATTCACATATTCACACGCCATCCTCCAGGGCAGCCAACTTTGGAACTCGGCCATAATATACATGTCCCGCGCAGACGTGTAAAGCAGACATGGCGGAAGAAGAAAAGGCAGCGGGCGACGCTGAAAAGAACCCGGGCGTGTCGTCGACGCTCGACTATGGCAGCCAGATCCCGCCGGAGCTGCTCGAGACGCTCGCGCCCAACGGCGAGGCCGACTTCATCCTGGAAAAGATCAACTCGATGCCCGAGGAGGAGGCGCTCGCCATTGTCGCCGAGTCGCTGGCCTTCCACGCCGACGACTGGAACTTCCCGTCCGACATGAGGGAGCGCATGAGCCGCCTGCTGCGCCTGGGGCCCAAGGGCTACGGCGAGTTCTACGGCCGCGACCTGCGCGTCGACGCCGTCATGATGAAGTGGTCCAGCCCGTATCCCGGCGTGCGCGCCGTCGCGAGCCCCCTCGACGACCCCGAGGTGCCTATTGAAACGGCGAGGGCGTACTTTCTGGGCATTGGGTGGGCGGTCATTGGGACCTTTATGTCGACGTTTTTCAACAGTCGCTTTCCGGGCATCAGTACGTTGGCTTCTTCTTGTTCTGTTTTTCGTCTTGTCTGCTTTCATGAGACGGGTTTTCTTCCCTAGAATCCACTTGGTCAACATCATCATCATCATCATCCTCATCATCCACCAGACACTTGCAATGACGACGAATAACTTACCATGGCGCTCCCCCCTTTCCGCAGGCCTCAGCAACTCCGTCATCCAGATCCTGCTCTTCCCCTGCGGCAAGGCCCTCGAGGCCGTGCTGCCGGACTGGGGCCCGACCGTGTTCCGGACGCGGCACTCGCTCAACCCGGGCCCGTGGACGTTCAAGGAGCAAATGTTCGCCACCATCACCTTCAACATCGCCATCTACACGACCAACAGCTACGGCATGATCCTGGTGCAGCGGTCGCCCGTCTACTACGGGCTCGACTTTGTCGACTTTGGCTACCAGCTCATGCTGACGCTCTTCGTGCAGCTCATGGGCATGGGGCTGGCCGGCTACCTGCGCCGCTTCTCCGTGTATCCCGTCAAGGCGCTGTGGCCGACGCTCATGCCCGTCATCGCCATGAACCGCGCCCTCACCAAGCCCGAGCCGCGCGAGAACATCGACGGCTGGACCATCTCGCGCTACCGCTTCTTCCTCGTCGCCGCCGCCTCCATGTTCGTCTACTACTGGCTGCCGGGCTACCTCTTCACGGCGCTCTCGCAGTTCAACTGGATGACGTGGATCGCCCCGGACAACTTCAAGCTCGCCGTGCTGACGGGCTCCAACATGGGCCTGGGCCTGTTCAACCCTGTCACCACGTTCGACTGGAACGTCGCCACCTCGTCGTACGCCGCGCTCGCCCAGCCCTTCTTCTCCACGTGCACCATGTACGTCGGCAGCCTGCTCGGCGGCTTCGTCATCCTCGCCATCTTCTACTCCAACATGTACGACACGGGCTACCTGCCCATCAACTCGTCCTCGGCCTTTGCCAACGACGGCAAGCCCTACGCCGTGCAGAAGATCGTCGCCGGCAACCGCCTCGACCTCGACAAGTACCAGGCCTACTCGCCGCCCTTCTACTCGGCCGGCTACGTCCTCACCGTCGGCGCCAACTTTGCCTTTTACCCCGTCTACTTCCTCTACATCATGGTCAACCAGTGGAAGACGATTGGCAAGGCCTACGTCGACTTCTACAAGGGCCTGCACCACGGCAAGGGCAACTACGAGGACGCCATGGACGTGCACAACCGCCAGATGGCCAGGTACAGCGAGGTCCCCGACTGGTGGTTCCTCGTCATCTTTGTCGGCGCCATCGTCGTGAGCGTCGTCTGGGCCGACATCTACCCCGTCGACGTGCCCGTCTGGCTCGTCTTCCTCGTCATCGCCGTCAACCTCGTGTTCGCCGTGCCCCTGTCCTTCCTGTCCGCCACGACGGGCACCAACCTGGGCCTCGGGTCGCTCATCCAGATCATCACGGGGTTCCTGCTGCCCAACAACCCCAACGCCTTCCTGTTCGGCCAGACGCTGGGCAGCTGGGCGCTGGCCGGCTACGGGGACAACTACGTCCAGGACCAGAAGATGGCGCACTACTGCAAGATTGCGCCGCGGGCCGTGTTCCGGAGCCAGATCGGCACCATTGTCATTACGTGCTTCGTCGCCGTCGCCACGCAAAACTTCATCCTCAACAACGTCGAGGGCTTGTGCACGCCCGACCAGCCGAGCCGCTTCACCTGCGCGGGCGACGGCGCTCCCCTCTACGCCAACTCCCTCATGTGGGGGCTCCTGGGCTCCGAACGCATGTTCAACTCGGTCTACCCCTTGTTCAAGTGGTGCTTCCTCATCGGGGCCGTCGTCGCCGTCGTCTTCCTCGCCGGCCAGGGCCTGGGGCCGAAATACCTACCCGGCGTGCGGGAGAGAATCCGGTCCCGAATGTCCCCCGCGCGCTTCCGTCGCCTCGACCGCACCCTGTTCCGCTTCGTCGCTTCCCTCATGTGGCTGAACCCGGTGCTCATCATCCAGGGCATTCAGCACTGGGCCCCGTCCAACATGGCCTACAAGACGCCCGGCTTCATCCTGTCCTACATCTTCATGTACTGGCTGCCGAGGCATCGCTTGGCCTGGTGGTCCAAGTACAACTACGTCCTGTCTGCTGCCCTGACGGCCGGTCTCGCTGTCAGCGCCTTGATCATGTTCTTTGCGGTTGGATATCACCCCAAGAGCTTGAAGTGGTGGGGAAATACCGTCAGCACCGATGGCATTGATGGCCAGCAGGTGGGATGGCTGCCCATCCCCGAGAGAGGGTACTTTGGACCTGAGAAGGGCCATTTTCCGTAGACTTTTTTTTTGGCGCACGAGTGGTTTGATGGGACTTGTTACAGTTTCTTCTTTTTTTTTTTTACCGTGGGTGTCTCTGTCTTTGTCTTTTTTTTGGTCTCCGTCTTGGCAAAATACTATAATAAGCGACGGATATTTAGTTGCGGAGGCTAGACCTGTCGCATGGGTTCTGTGCTTTGTGTCACAGCCTGTGACTTTCAAGTATTCGTAGATTATAGTTTCGCCTCTTCGTTTCATGATGCCAGCCACGACGGCTCATATCTCTATTTTTCGCAACTTTCACCGTCAGCAGTGTTTTGCCTTGATACCGCACCGTGTCTGACTCACGCATGGGACCGTGTTGTTTTGGCGTCTGATCACCAAGTTCACCCTTTGAATGAGTATTTTTCCATGTTCGCTTTGTTGCCCAAAAATGAACAGGGGGCTGAAAAAAAAAAAACGTAGGGCGTTCGTGTCATGACGCTAGTCAATTCATTCCGACGTCTTCATCCACCTCGGAACCGTGGTGTTGGCAAGTTGGACCAGGGATCCATGGCCATTTTAATTATCCAACAAACAAAGACCGACTGAAGCATTGAGCACCAATCGTCACATCTCCAACTCGCATGCGGGGTTGTTTGCCTTTTTGAACGAATAAAGCATGTTCAACATGCTTGCGCAATGCAAAGTACATACTAGCTACACCTGTGGGTCCCAATCATAATTGCCGTATTATGTCGCAGATCCATTTTAATCAAAATGCAGCAGTCCAGACTAAAAATTGGTAATGGGATGTAACACTGTTACCAACATGTTGGTTTATGGGTTAATGAAGCTAGCCGAGGCGGAATACGACAGACAATTGGTGCAAATAGACACTTGGGATGATGTTGCCTTTGGACAATCGTCCACCTCCCAACATTCAAAGTCCAAGTCTAGCATAGTGGTCGCCAGTCAGATGATGCCATGGAAATGCGGAAGACCTTAGACCTCTCTTCTAGGAGTTACACCTGCATCTGCAGGCCATTCTGCTCCGAAATCTATCAGATACTAGTACGAATCGACAGCTGCAAAGTAAATGCCGGAGCGCCACATCAGTGACGAGGGACGCCACCATCGTTTCCCGAGATGGTCGTGTCTCCAGTCTCGGCGTACCCAAAAGCAGAGTTCGAAGTTGTCGCATAATTCTCCCCCATCTAAATGGTCACATGAACTGTGACTCCGAAGTCCGGGGAATCAGCTCCGACTATTCCTTGCTCAACCCCATCGTGCGCGCGCCTTAGTCTCCGTATACTATTGTTCAGCATTGAATCCCCTTGGTCATGGAGACACATAATACTTGCGCTTATCAAGGCGTACAACATGTATGTACAATCCATACACACGCAAAATCGTACGATACCAATCAGGCGGCTTCAAACTTTTTGGCTCCTTTCCCTTTCTGGTGCCAAGCCGGGTCAGCCTTCAGGCACACAATGATGGCAGCAGCCCTGTGCTGCAAAACACGGTCAACTCACAGGCCAGAGAACAATAGAACCCGTCTTATTTTCTCTAGTATGCAAATCATCGGAATCAGGCGGAGAAATGACGCACATACCACACATTCTCTTCCACAGAAACGGGCCAACACAACGTGAACATGTCGGTGATGGTTCCTCTTGGTGTGAGACCACCAACCAGCTGGTCACTTGAGCAATGGACCCAGTCTAGGTTGCCAGAATCCCAAGGATCATGCTTCTTGGCAAATAGATGGCCTGGGTACTAAGACACAATGTACAAGCCCTGTCCGGCACCTGCACACGGCTTGTTCGAGACTCAAAACTTTAGCCTCGTCGACTTGGGGCCGGGAGGAAGCAACAAAATAGGTCCGACTCCATAATGTGAATCATCTAGAAGAATTTAGCCTAGCCCTGGCTAAAGGAAACATGCAACCAAAGGCAAGCCTCCCCAACGCCTTTTCAAGCTTACCCATACATCCTGGCATATTGTAGAGAGATTCCTGGCTGCACACGTCCCTCCACCTCTCTTCAGAACGGAAGCCACATACGGGGAAGCATGCAGGGAAGTATACGGGGTAGCGGACAGGGCTTTATGGTGGAACGTGGCCAAAATGAGCCAATTCCAAGGCTGTTAGCTGGCCATGTCCATCAATGGTTTCATCCCACTTCTCCAGTTTGCAGGCGGCCCTGACAGGGATATGCGGTTGACCAACTGACTCAGCACTACTGACGCAACAGACTACCGTCCGGCGTCGACTGATGGCGTTAAGCGTTTTGACCACGACGAATCCAAGACGCAGGTCGATCTCCAACGAAAGAACTCGCGGACGCCTCTTGCGCCTATGCAATGTTGTTTTCAACGGACGCTCGGTGGAGTTGCAACCGGAGACAAATGGTTGGCTCAGATGTTGGCTAACTCTTTCTCCTTGTACTCGCATGGGAGCAAGGTCATGTTGCCCCGTACTTGGCATAGTCGGGGTCCGTTGCAACCTCGCCATGTGAATGTCAATTGAAACTACGGGGTTATGTCGCAACCGGTCGCACTGACAGGCGTCATGCCTCTAGATTTTACTCGGTGACGTCTGTTGATATCCAGCAGAATTCGATCCAGGTGCGCGCAATGTGCCGCGCATCAAGATGCCGGGTCGCTGACCACCAGAACGATATCATCACGGCTAAAGGCCAATCTCGGGGCGACTGGCTGCATGGAGGCGCGGTGCCATCCGCAGCCACGTTCCAGGCGAGTCCACCAACCACCTCTTCACCAGGATAGATGGGGTCTGTAAGTAGTTGGTGGTGTGCTTGCGGCCTGCGTCCTTCCAACATCTCCACGACCCCATGATTGCAAGGGGTCGGCGCAAAGAGAACCGAGCGGGGTCAAGCAGGAGCTTTGTCTCGGGCGGGGTCCCAAGCTGCGGCAGCTTGTTGTTAAGCTTACTGCTTAAACATCAATCCCAAGTGCGAGCACTAGAGCCAACGCATCAAGCAGCGTCGCGATTTGGGCGGCGGCTTCGGGTGTAACCCTCAGCCGTCGTCCCGTTTTCCGCTCTTGCTTCTCTCTAAACACTCGAGGCCAGATGGTCCTTGCACCCGTCAGAAGGAGCATTTGGTGACATTTGCCGCATGATTTCCCTGTATTCCAGCCGACAGGCACGGAATCCCCTCTCCGGTTCCGGGGAGCGTAGGCCAAGAGGTTGTAGTCGTGGGGGACCGAATGCCACAAGGCGCATCTTCTGCCCTTAATGGAGCTCTCAGCTGATGATGCGTCCCCCGCATCACAGCTTTCCATTACTCCAGGAGGACACACCATATTTGCCGAATCGTGGCTCTTGATTCGCTCCGTGTCCTGTCTCGAAGGAGGATTTGCTTTTTTGCATGATATCAAATTCAGTGCTGGCTTGCCGTCCACACCTCCATTTCACTTGCCCCCAGTGTTTCCCCAGCCTCGACTCAGTATCTACCAGGAGCATTAGCCTGGTCCAAATCAGGATTCCCGTCCAGAGACAGGGGTGGGATCAAATCACAGGCCACACCTTTTCTGCTAAAAGGGATCCCCAGATGCCTCACCTCGTCAGCAAACGCTAACACACAAAAAGAGAAGGCGAAGAAGCGGTCGGGTCGCGGCTTGTGGGTGGTTACGGAGTAGACTGGGGTTGTACTGTTAGTTTCCTGCGATACTTTCTGTCATGTAACGCCGGGAACGACCGACAAATTTTCGTGTTTTTTTTTTTTTTTGAGAACCCCTGCGATGTACGGAGTATTCCATGAAGAGCAATGGGTCTCATCTTGGAGACACCCTGCAGCGCGTGGCGTGTGTGCTTGCAACCTCTCCAGCATTCTCCAGGTCTCAGAAAGATCACAGGCGCATATGTATACTGGACATTCAACCCGCCCCTTCAAACCCTTTCTATATATAGGCAAGACACTCGTGAACTCTCTCACCTCAGAGTGCTTCCCCTTCACCCCTCTCAATTCCAAACAGGGATCCAGAGCGACTCGTCTATAAGAACGCTGCTGCCATTCGACCAAGCAACAGGTATCCGTGATTTTGCTTCTTGAATTCCCTCGTTCTGATTTGTGCCGCCTTTCGCAATGGCGCCGAGAGAGAATGAGCCCGCCGATGCTCTGGCTAAGGGTATTATTCCCACCGCAAAACAATCCCTCAAGGATTTGTTCATTTGGCGTCAACGTGTGGTCCTTTCCAACGAGTACGGAGAGACTCGTTGTGAATGGAGGGACCCCGACCGCTTCGTGAATCCCATTAGTCTTATGGCTCAACTATCCGCAAAGAACTGGCTCTTCTTCCTGGTTGGATTTTTGTCTTGGACGGCCGACGCATTCGACTTCCACGCCCTGTCAATTCAGACCAAGAAGCTAGCGGTTTACTATGGCCGTAGCAAGACTGACATTACCACCGCCATCACATTGACGCTGCTCCTTCGGTCGATTGGTGCAGCCTTCTTCGGTCTTGCAGGCGATAAATGGGGGCGCAAGTGGCCCATGGTGGTGAACATGCTTGTTCTCGGTCTTTTGCAAATTGCCACAATTTACAGCCAGACTTTTCAGCAGTTCCTAGCTGTCCGAAGTTTATTTGGTCTCTTCATGGGTGGTGTCTATGGAAATGCCATTGCCATGGCCCTCGAACAATGCCCGTAAGTGCTCGTCTGAAGTTGAAATAAGAAGTGCCGCACTGACAAGCCACCGTTTCTTGGCCAGATCTAATGCTCGTGGCTTGATGTCTGGCATCTTGCAGCAGGGCTATTCGTTCGGCTATGTCTTGGCCGCGTGCGCCAACCTTGGCGTTGGCGGGGGGACAGATACTTGGAAGATTGTCTTCTGGATCGCTGGTAAGTAATCATGCGTGGCAATACTGCAGTCTTTAAAGGTTCTTTGGGTGTTAACTTGATGTCTGTGCTTTGCGTATAGCCGGGTTTTCCATTGCCGTCGGCCTCGTCCGTATTCTGTTTCCTGAGTCGCAGCAGTTCTTGGAAGCCAAGAAGAATGGTAAGAAGGCAGCCAGCCCTGGTGCATTCTGGCATGACACCGTCAAGATGCTCAAGCAAGAGTGGAAGATGTGTGTATACTGTATCATTCTGATGACGTGGTTCAACTACTATTCCCACACTTCGCAAGATTCATACACCACCTTCATGCTCACTCAGAAAGGATTGGACAATGCTGGGGCCTCGAGAGCCTCGATTCTGATGAAAGCTGGTGCGTGTGTCGGCGGTACTATCTTGGGGTACATGTCGCAATTCATCGGCCGTCGTCGAACCATCATCAGTTCGTGCCTGATGTCGGCTGTTTTGATCCCAGCTTGGATTTTGCCCACTGGGGAACGTGCACTGAGCGCGACTGGTTTCTTCATGCAATTCTTCGTCCAGGGAGCTTGGGGTGTGATTCCCATTCACTTGAACGAGCTTTCTCCTGTGGCCTTCCGATCGACTTTCCCCGGCGTCACATATCAGCTTGGCAACATGATCTCTTCGCCTTCGGCACAGATTGTGAATGCCATTGCCGAGAAGATGTTTGTGACCACACCTGATGGTCGCAGGGCCGAAGCTTATGGACCAGTCATGGGCATCGCGACTGCCATTATTGCCCTTGGCATCGTCTTCACCACCATGTTTGGTCCTGAGCGTCGTGGGCGCGATTTCGAAAATAAGGTTGCTGGCATGACTAGCGAGGAGTCGTCTACCAAGGTTATGGAAAGTGAGGACGAGGAGAAGGGTCGAGTTGAACTTGAGGAGAGAAGGTAAAATAGCTCATTGAATCGTTTACAGTAAATACCTAGGTACTTAAGTAGATAGGCGCTTATGTACCTAGGCACCTGAATGTGGCCAAGCCATGAAGAGGGGAAACATGAATCGAATAAATGCCAGACATCATGTTGCAAAGTTATCGTCTCGCGTAGGAGTCAGCACGTGTAACCACCTAGATGCCTCTAACTACCCTGTACTTCGCATGTGACGCCTACGGTCTATGCTTGGGGTCAATGCCAAGGAATTCTATAACCACAATGAAATCTGCAACTAAAAATTGGCGTTCTCCTTGTGTTATTTAAAGAGTAGCAACAGCCTGTATCGTTGTAGTCTAGCTGTGCATTACTCTTCATGGAGCCAGGGAGTCATTATTCAATCGACAAGTCCTCCCGCACAGATGGACCACTTCACAAGCTTCTCGTGGCTTCGAAAAGCCGTGTGGATAACCCGAGTTAAAATCTAAAGGAATATTTTTTCTTTTTTTTCTTTTAGAAATATGCATTTATTACTTTGACGGTTTCAGTGAATTATATATAACTTGTCCTAATATCAACTCTGGCAATAGTATGTGAATTGCTCGGCGGGCTTCATCTTTTTGCGAGGTACGCTTATTCCTGTATTACCTACCTAGGTACCTAGGTACCTACCTAGGTAGGGAGGTTATTTATTATCTTAAAACTCTTCTTAATATATTTTAGTGCTTAAGTAAGGGATCTTTAATAAAATATATTTACCTAATATAAAATTATATTATAATATAAAGTTTAATAACTAGGTACCTAGTAGAGTGTGAGCGCATGTAGCAGAAAAAGCGAGCCGCGCCGAGCAATTCACAGCAGTATATACCTCTTTAGTTGCGGAATGGCTCGTGGAGAACTCCACCCCCATACAAATTTCTTAGGTAAGCGAGTCTCCGCGAGCCATTCCGCAACTAAAGAGATCCTCCTCAGTCCCTCCCCTGCTCACCGCCTAAGCTACCCCACGTTTGTCCCACCTAGTCTAGCACCGATTCTGCCGCTTCCCAACCTCGATTCCACCAACACCAAACCACATCTCGCCAAACAGCCGCACACTGCAGCACCAATCTACACCTAACAACCATGACGTCTCATCCGGACCACCCTCCCGCTGATGCGGGTCCATCCGAAGTCCGCAATGAAGTCAAGAAGCCCAAGAAAAAGAAGGTTCTCCTGATGGGTAAATCTGGATCCGGCAAGTCCTCCATGAGGAGCATCATCTTCAGCAACTACATTGCTCGAGATACTCGACGACTGTAAGCTCTATCTTCGCCCCTCCTCACCCCCCTCTAGCCCTTCAACTCAGTAACTAAATCGAAATTTACCTCTCCAACAGCGGCGCTACCATCGACATCGACCTCTCCCACGTAAAATTCCTCGGCAACCTCACCCTCAATCTCTGGGACTGCGGCGGCCAAGAAGCCTTCATGGAGAACTACCTCTCCCAACAACGCGTCCACGTCTTCTCCAACGTCGGCGTCCTCATCTACGTTTTCGACATTGAATCGCGCGACGTAGACCGCGACCTGGCAACCTACGTGTCCATCCTGTCCGCCCTCCTCCAATACTCGCCCGCCGCCAAGATCTACATCCTCATACATAAAATGGACCTTGTTGTCCCTACCGCCCGCGAAACCGTCTACGACGAGCGCGTGCGCACCGTCAAGCAAAAGACTGCCGAGTACATCAACTCTGTCGGCGGAGACACGAGCACCGTTGAACTCACGCCCTTTGCGACATCCATCTGGGACCAGAGCTTGTACAAGGCCTGGGCGTCCATCATCCACGACCTGGTGCCGAATCTGGCCGTCATTGAGCGCAACCTCGCCAATCTAGGCGTGGCAATCGAGGCGGAGGAGTTGCTGCTGTTTGAGCGGACGTCCTTCCTCGCAGTCTCGTCGTGGACGTCGACCGAGGGACGCCGGAATCCGACAGAGGACAGACTGGAGCGCATGTCGAACATCATGAAGCACTTTAAGCAGAGCATTTCGCGCTTTACGGGAACGCCTAGGAATGCAGAGCAATTTATTCGCATGGAGCATAAAGCGGGCACGCGCTTCAACTTGTTCATTTTGAAATTCACGACGAATACATATCTCATGGTGGTGCTTCCTCCGGGCGAGGCCAGATTCAACGCGGCAATGCTGAACTGTCAGATTGCGATTGAGCATTTCAAATTTCTGGATGGCCCGGCTCCACACGCCATAACTGCGACGGTCGTGCCTCCTGCGTCGTCATAGAGAAGGAGAAATTGCTGAGGCTAAGAAATTCTATTAAAATACGCATGAGAAGCGATACCAGAGTTCAGTTTGGAGTTTTGGAGCGATGATACCAATTGGTTTGTTCACACGGGCGAAGGGTGATTTGACGCGAAATCTTGAACGGCATATTTATAAAGAGGTACAAATTTTTAATGGCCTTGATTCTCGTTCGAGATCAGGAAGACTTTATTGTGGGCAGCTCTTTCGCCGTATATTGATTTGCATGTTCCATAGCTACCGATGTAGGCAGCTGTATGAGCCGTCCCTCAGTTCTGTTCCTCTTTTTCTTTTACTCAGTACATATTGCCGGGTTGGAAAGTATCTATAATCATTACTCTAAGTCCATTTGACAACAGCCGTCCCGCCCTTTTTGAATTCTGCCATATCACCCAATACCAAGTCTTTATCAGTATGCTCCTTGTTCGGGAAGGTCGTTGCGAGGACCCACGACCGAGTTCTAGTCTCTGGCGACGCCCCCTGGACAAATCCATAGACATCCCCCACAGTATTGGTGGTATTAAAGCGAGCTGGGAGTCGCGTTCCGTCTGGCATCTGAATTCTGATCAGGATGGTAGGCTGTGAAGAGTCGATGGATGGCTCCGGGTTTGCTGATGCCGATGCTGATGAGGCTGGTGCTGTGGTTGTGGAAGCAGCTGGCGGAGCAGGAGCACCAACGCCGGGTACAGGACTTCCCAGACGCTGACCTGTTCCAGAGAAAGGCCTATACTTCTTAGGCGGTGGCTTGTAGGGGGTCTCGTGCCGATGCAGCTTGACGTCGACTCGCTGATCATGTTGGACATTCATTAAGTGTAGCGGAGCGCGGCCTGATTTTATCATTTGCAAATCCGCTTGATTGGCTGGGTCGTCAAATCGTCGAAGTTCCCCATCGTCAATGCTGAAACCGTTCTGCCAGATGTGTAGAATGCGCTCCTCAGGCTCGGCACTGGATGTAGGAGCAGCGCCCAGAGGATCAGGAATCCTGCGGCTTTCAACGCCCTCACCGCCTAGTGTGACGCCAGCACCGCGGAAGCGCGATGGACCAGACGGACCAGGTTCGTCCACAGACTGATCGGGGCGGGATGCATTGCTGCAGCATATAGTTAACCACGTGTACTTCTTCCATTCCTCGACAGCACAGTCAACTCACGCTTTCGCCGCCTTGGCTAGAATATCACTGATGATTTTTCTTTGGCTACCTTCTTGGTGCGGGTCCTGTACGGCAAGTCCAGATTTCTCGCCGCCAGCAAAAAGATTGCCACGGCCCTCATCATCATCGTCCTCGTAGTCGTCATCATCGTCTCCGTCGTCCTCGTGAGCATGGGCACCGCTACCAAGAGACCCTAACGTCGCAATGCCTTTCCTCTTGGGTTGTGACGTCGTCTGAGGGCCTCCTCTGCTAGACGAAGCGGCGGCGGGAGCAGGTCGCCCGTCGAGCGTACGAGGCCCAGAATACGCGGACTCGGGCCTTGAATCGCCCGATCCGCTTTGCATCCTTGCTTCGTCATCGTCCTGGAAAAAACTGTTACAAGCGGCCATAAGATCCCATTGATTGGCATCAAGGTACTGCGTTGCCTGACAAAGATGTTAGGTCACGATTCTTGACAGCAAGAAGACCCCCCGCTGTAGATACCATACCTGCTCCGGACTGCAGTTGCACATGTTCGCAAAGTCTTGCATAAGCTTCTCCCGGTTGGGAGTGTCATGGTTGTCAGCCATGGTATGATGACGTGCGCAGAGCGCGGGGCAACTGAATAGACAGAAGTCGAAGAGGTGAAATTATCTTGCGATGCAGTTTCCGACGAATACTTGGGTTAGAGCACGACTGGTCGATATATTGGTAGCAAAGGCTGTCTTGTGAGATAAAGAAATGTATGAGGATGATGGAAGGTGATAGAACTGAGCTGTTTGTCAATGGGCGGCAGGCAACGGGACCCTCGTCATGACTCTGGCCTTGTCCCGCGTGGAAGCTGGAAGCTCCCCAGAAGCCCATGCCAAGTGGCGCGACCCACATTTGCTCACGCACATGCCCGCCCGGCCACCTGCCAGTTGCCAGGCTGCACCGAGCACCGCTCCTCTGCTTAGTCACTCAACCGTTCTCTCTTCACCGTACTCCGTCGTCCGTACTCGGCATTCGTAGACGAGATCGCGCACTTCCGACCTGCGAGGCGTACCCCAACAGCACCGTGTTGCTGCTGCCCACGATTTCATTGTCCATCGTCCGCACGTCCAAAGAGAGTCTACCCCTGATATAGACGAGGTCAACTGCCTACAATGGCCTCGGAAGATCCATCAAGTCACCTCGCCGAGTCTGGCATCACTATGCATTCTGACAGCGAACAATACTCCCCAGGCGAGGAGCTCTCCACCTCACCTGAGAGCTCGGGCTCTCCCGTCATTCTCTACAAGCCGCCCACTGTTTTGTCATTAATACGAGGTGCCGCTATCAACCTGCTGCTTCCTTTTATCAATGGTATGATGTTGGGATTCGGAGAGCTATTTGCTCACGAAGCTGCCTTTAGATTAGGTTGGGGAGGCACGAAGGTATGCTGGAACCGTTTACTAATGAGGCATTTACGACGCAAAGCCACACCTGCTTTGTTCTCGTTGACCAAGTCAGTGCCGTCATGTTTCCGACCTTAACTGATCGAAATGCGCTAGGTCTTTCCCATGTCACGAAGACGGGCGCACCCGATCGGCCCCGGTATTGAGGTCCGAGAGCGGCGACGAGGACCAGGACCTTCGTTGGATGACTTGGCAAGCTTGGAATAGGAGAGGGATGCACAATATAAGCATTACTTGGAGATTCCGAGTTCCTCATGGCGTTGGAAATGATCGGCTACATCATCGCTGGGTCTACGGATCTTCTACCCACGACCGGCGAGCGGCGTTATAGCAAAAATTGGGGCAATTGCTTCACTTGGTTTCATGTGAGATTAATAAGAGGCACGGCATGTCAAGGCGTACGAGGAGTGTCGAAGATGATTGTGTATATATATCTGCCGGCTGAGACCTGGCCTCATGATTGCGAGCCTCACTATATTAAACCAACTGCAATATTAGATGTCGACGATTCAACTCTATTTTGAAATAGTTCTTGTTCATCTTACTAGTTGGCATTAACATCTGATATCGCCTGGTAACAATTTGGGGGATATAGGCCTAGTCAGGAAAGCATCGTGATAGACACTTCATTCGAGAGTGCCGTCAAGCCCTAATAATAAAATTGGCCATGAATTCCGAAGCCAATGGCCATGTCAGTCAACTATGTGGTGCCAGAAAACTCCTTTCCGTAGTTGATGGATGTGTTTGCCGCTTTGTTCCCCGAGGTCTTCTGTACATGGATATGTAAGGATCAAACATTTCCCCGACATAATTTGTCGACTATATAGCTACACGCAGTCAACGAAGTCAGCAATCCATTTCGCCTGTTGTCAAAGTGTGAATGTCGGCATGTCTTATACGACCCCGACATACCGAAGTTTCCAGTCTGCTGCCAATGCACAACCTGTCGTCTCCATAGAAGCGAGATCCATACCTCCCACTTTGCACTCACACAACATGACCACCGCATATGCCTCTTACAAAGAGCATTGTAATATTCACCAATTGCAACCTCCAAATCACTTATTCAAATGAATCCTTGCCTAAGTTCTTATCGATAACGCGCATTCTTTGCAGACACCAGCTAGGCTCAGGAACACCCGACGATTAGCCGGCCAAGGTCCCCAAAAAATTGTCCAACAAACTACCAGCCAAAACGGCCGTAGAAACATCGAGTTCTAAAATTCCCTATATCACCGTCACCACAATCGTCGCGATGCTTCCCAGTCGAGCCATTGCGCGCTCTGCGCCATCATTGGGGGCGCAGAGACAACTCCAGAGTAGATGGGCCGTAAGAAACTCCCCACTCCCTGCATCTTGTTATGAGTTCTTTCGTCCTACCGCAAAGATGCGTGCGTCGCGGCTAGAATACTGATAGAGTTGGCTCCCCGATTTTAGAACCCCCCGAGTGCCCTCTCGCAAAGACTTGGGAACGGTCGTCAATTCGGGACATCCCTGCGCTTCAATCCGTCCAGCTTGACAACGTCACCGTTCCGGACGCGAAATGTCGCTCCGCCCATCATGCTCTCGGGCGTATCCTCATCTCGGCAGTTCTCACTCTGGGGCTACGGCAAGAAGAAGACGCCCGAGGAAGAACCCGCGGCCTCAAAGCCAGAAACTACCTCAACCACACCCGAGGCCGTCCGTCCCGTAGACCCGACCCCCGAAAACGTCGTCCCCTCGCCGCCCACCGAGCCCGCAGTCCCAGCGTCCGAAGTCGACCTCTCCTCCATTTCCGACATCGTCAACGGGCAGGACATTCTCAACATGTCCGAACAGATCGGATACCTGAAAGCCCTGGGTCTAGATTTCGGCACCGGCCCCACGTCTGTCATGCAATGGGCCCTCGAACACGTCCACATCTATAGCGGCCTCGGATGGGGGGCTTCCATCATGGCCACGGCCGTGCTCCTACGCTGCATCATGTTCTACCCGCAGGTCCGCAGTCTCAAGTTCAACGCCGTCATGCAGAACCTGCGCAAGGACCCCCGGTCCCAAGAAGCCATGAAGTTGGTCCAGCAGGGCTTCGCAAACCAGGACAACGAGATGCGCCAAAAGGGCCAGTATCTGAACAAGATGCTCAAGGAGCAGTACGGCGTCAACAACTGGGGCATGCTGTGGTCCTTTGGCCAGATCCCGTTCACATTTGGACTGTTCCGCATCGTCAGCGGCATGGCAAATGTTCCCGTGCCGGCCATGGAGACCGCCGGATACCTCTGGTTCACCGACCTGACGGCCACCGACCCATACTTCATCCTCCCTGCCGCCGGTACCGCTCTCATGGTCGGCGCCCTAGCCGTACGTTTCCATACTTGCTATCCTCCAAGTTCCCCCCTCCCCCGGTCCACCAGCTAATGCCCGTACAGATCAATGCCAAGCACACTCCCGAATCGCAAAAGAAGATGCTCAAAACAATGACCTACGTCTTCGGCGTCGTCGGCTTCATCGGCACCACATTCCTCTCCGCCGGCGTCAACCTCATGACTGTTGCCCTCGGCGCATCCACCCTCATCACCGCCATCGTCCTCAACAACGCCCTGGTCCGACGAACCGTCGGCCTACCCCCCCACCCTACCGCCTCATCCACCGCCCCCCAGAAAACCACGTACGAGGCTCCCCGTGCCGCCAACACCCCCGAGCCTGGTCTCCGAGAACGTCTCGAATCCAGCCTCAACGACATGAAGAAGGGCATGTCCGACCAAATCACAAATTACACGGGAACGTATAGCGGCACCGACGAGGAAAAGGCTGAGAGGAAGCGAAAGGAGCTGATGCGCAAGTTGGAGGATACCCGCAAGCAGCAGGAGCGCGAGGAATTTGAGAAAAAGTACAAGACGAAGAGCTAGTGTGGTGGATGCTGTTCGATATGGTGGACGAACATGTAACTTTTATGCATTTCATGTACAAAAATGGATATCTAGAGGCTTTGGGGGAGCATATGGTGGCTCGGGCAGGGTTAGATTCATCTCCCGAGAAGATATAGCTTGTACATTAGAGTTTTTAAAAACACAGCGCATCCCCCTGCTATTTTGAAAGGGCTTTTGGAAATCAAAAGAAGAAATATACAAACTCGATGAAAATAGACCTTTGGTCAAAGAGCCCTTTCGCGGACCATCTATTCATATAACTAATCTCGGGGCAAAAGTATTCATTCACTGATTTATACTGTAGGGATATCGTCGTGCAAAAAGGTGTCTACCGTTCCGTCCACCCTACGTCGTCATGTGGCTCGTAATAAATGTCCGAGTAAGGATCAGTTTCTTCTCCCGCCAAGCCCCTCTGTTGCTGTCGCGAATTAGAATACGGTCCCGTCACTGTCAATCAGGATTGGCGGCTCCTTGGTATTTGGCCGGTTGATCTCGGCGATTTCGCGGCCTCCCTGACCGATGATGGATTAGTAACGTCAGAGGAGCATGACACAACAAGAATGGTCAACTCACCTTCCAACTTCCCGCTTCCAGGAGCTGGGGCAGAGTCATCTCATTACCAGCAAGTTCATTTTTGAGATGCTTATTGACTTCTGCACAGAGCAAATCAAGCAGACCGACTGTTGCGCCACGCCATTCAACCACGACATCGTCGCTAGGCTCAAACATGGGGGCTACCTCCACCCCGTTATGGCCAGTCCGGCGGCAATAATCGGCGTAATTCTGGAGGCCGCGCTCCATATCATCCTTCTTCAAATTCAGAACACAAAGATCTACAAACAGCCCGCCGTTACGGTACTCTGGTAAGCCAGTAAGTAATTCAGTACCAGCGAAGTGCATGTTCAGGAGCGACTGCATTGGCTGCATAAGGGAGTATGTGAGCCATTGGGTGAGCTTGTGGAACGGCAAGATCGATTCCCAGGATGCGGCACCAGGATTGGGCATAGCTTGGCAAGGCCATGCATCTCCAAGGGATACGCCATTTAAGGCTGTTCGTGATGGGGGCCAGATAGGTGCTAAACCATTCATTAAGACGTTCCATAGGACCGGCAACGGCACAATTAACATAGAAGACGCCTGTGTTGAAGGGTGTGAAAGCAGATGGTCTAAAACGTCACTGTCAGAGAAATACGCATTTAAACCATGCAGCGCTTGTTCCATACCAATCATATTTCCAGGTCTGCCATCTGCACCAAAGTACTCAGCCTTATCACTGAGAGCGCCAGCAAGCCGGATAAGGAGCTCGGTGCGACCCTCTAGGCCAGCCAGTTCGGCCCCGGGGCGAGATTGAAGCCCTGCTTCAAGCTTTTCCACAGTCAAGGCTTTGAGTCCATCTTTGTCGACTTGAAATTTGTTGTTTGCATTTCCAGAGAAGAGACCCTTGAGTAGTCATCAGCCTTGACCGCTCAACTTGCCAATTTGAAGGGCCGTGGACATCCGTACCTCTTTGAACATTTCTAAGCTGGCGACGGCCAACCCTTCGGAGCGTCGATAAATCTTCCCATTCTCCGTGCTCTTGTAGCTCCACTGAGTACCGGCACCAGCATCCAGCAGTACGCTGACCAAGAACAGGTCAATCAGTCGACGACATCGCTCGGTGCTGTCAACAGACTCTGGCCAGGAATCGAGCAACTCCTTAACGCGATCACGATCGCCGACGCAAAAATGCTGATATCGTCCATGCCCGGGTATAGTGTTAAAAGGTGCCTCGTAGTCCCGCTGTGACCCATGTTAATTCTGATTTATGTTCAGACCATATTTCCCAAAGAGGGGTTGTGGAAAACGTCACGACACCGGCCATCTCCGGGGTAAAAAAAGGGAGATGATGCGTGCGGGGAAACAGGTAAAACATGTAGTGTAGTGATGAACATACCTTAATTAGGCCAGAGACAAAGGCGACGACATTGGGCAACTTGGCGAGATCAACATCAAAGTGATTGAGTTCGTTGCGCGTCGCCTTGTCCATGATAATCTTGCTCCTCTCCCTCACGGCACCTAAACTGCGGAGGTATCCGACAGGGTCCAACTGAGGATCCGGGGGTCGAGGAAGATCGACTTTGGGCAACTTGATCGGCGACATTGGTGATAGCGGTGTGCCTGCTGACGTGAAACTTCCGGCTGAGGTGCGGTTTCCGATGCCTCGTGAATTTCCAGAGGCAACGCTGGTTGTTGATTGAGAAGCCAGAATGGATGAGTTACCCTTGGGGGCCTTGTCCTTTCGAGAAAAGAAGCCCATTGTGGTTGGCTAGTTATCTGATACGAAGGGCAGAACTCAACCAGGCACACTCGCAGGTGGCCGATGAGGGGCAGGGTGCGGGGAGAGCTCTGCTCGGCTCAGGAGCCGCAGGTGACAAGTGACAGATCGTGCCGTGATTGCAGATATGCTGGACGATGGCGCACTTTATGCTCGCGGGGTTATTATTGTCAAGGGATCTCGTGGTGCGTTGGACAGATGCACTCAATCCAAGGTTGTCCGAGTCGCGAGCCAGGTAAAACCGAACCGAATTAATGACCGTGACGTTCTGGACCAGGAATGAGCGAGCAAGACGGATGCTTTTGAAGTGGCGGCGAAGGCTCCTAGGACGTCGAGCAACTTGAGAAACGAGGGCAGGGGTCTAGGCGGGGACTGAACGATGAACCAGGCAGCTCAGTGGCTTGTCCCAGAAGTCTGTCCTAGCTGGGATTTGTGGTCGGTCCACCACCAAGTACGGAGTACGCTGATTGATTACCAAGGTCGAAGGCTGGTTCTGGACGGATGTAACGCCGATTGGTGCTGGACCAACCGCGCCTGGAGGGTTTGGGGCTTTCCAAGTATTGCCCCGAACCTAACCAAATTCGCACCTATCTCACTTGAAAAATTTATAAATGTCCAATTTTGGCAGCCGTCGTAGGTCAAGCTGCTATGTCGCTGTACGGTGTACGGAGTAGTACTACTACGTGCCTTGACTCCTTTGCTTCGTTTGGTCTCTCGGCTGTGTCGGCTGTGTCGTTGTCTGGCAGCAGCCGCAGGGCACTGCAATTTATGGGGTCGAGTCAAGGTATAATTTGCTGTGGCCTGGGCAGCAACAACACCTCCTGCTAGCCCAAGTGGCTGCCCTAGATTTCCATGCCCCTGGTTAGCGACCGTCGATCAACGGTTTTGAGAAAGATGTGTTGCCCTACCTATTCCCCTCGAGTCAGTCAGTGCAGTCGGTGCGGTTTTGCGGCCGTTGGTCATAGAGCCGAAAGGGCTGGTGCCTAGGCCCCCTGTGTTGGTAGATGGCGGATGGATACCCCGTATCTCGAAATCCAGGAGAAAAGGGTCAGGGTCTACTCCGTACGCTCCGCTCCGTGGGTCTGGATGAGCAAACTGCCACAGGCACAAGCATTCTGGGGTGGAAACAAGAAACTTGTGTAACGCCTAGGCCCTGCCCAGTGCCCAAGTGGCAAACTGCCATCCAAACGGCCATGGCCAGTCGCGGGGCCCAGCCTAATTCTGAATGTAGAGAAGGACTCGATGCGCCATGCAGGAGACATTGATCTCGCAGCCGCGCTCTCTTGGCGTCCAACGATGAATCAGCCCGCCTTCTCCCTCTCGGCTGTCTGTGGTCCTCGCCGTCGTGGAATGCCCGACACTGCCTACTAGGTCAAGTCCCTACCTACCTCAATACCTAGGTAGGTATGCAATGTGAGGAGAGCCGAGACTTTCTGAATGATGAAAGGACCTCGAGCAAGCATTCAGGGCTGAGGGCAAACCTTGTTCACTGGCCATTGCGATGTGTTACATGACCATCTGGTTGCCAATTGACCGAGAGGTGCATGAGACGACCCGCAGCCAATGTACAGGTAATGTACGGTTAATGTGCAGGTAGTAATGTACAACGGTTGTCGTGGTCAATGTTCCGAGATGCATTCCGAGCTGCATGTCTGACGCAAGGATGTGGTGCAGGTGATGTTGATCATAGTGCTCTGCTGGTGGTGCAGGTAAGCAGACAGGCAAGTGTACCGAGCAGTGGCAGCCATGTGGCCCAGGCCATGCGCCGGCATTGAGGGCGCACACGATACGGAGTACACGATGTAGACAAGCACCGAGAATTGAGATTGGAACGTGTTGTAGGCTACGTACTATGGAGCACATGCGCCTCTCCTGGGTTGCTTAAGTACGGAGAAATAAAGGTTCCATTCAAGATGCATGTGTGGGTGTCTGCTTCCGCATTGGACGAGATGGCTCCTTCCTTTCCTAGGAATCCATCACGCCTTGGCCAAACTCGTGGTTTCTGTTGAAATGCTTTGCTCTGTACTCCCTACAACTGCCGCACATACAATCCCAACATCCCCAACACCCCGAATCCTAGCAAAATGCATTGTACACTAAAAAAAGGACCCGACGTCTGACTTTGCATTTTGCACGTTTACTCAACCAGGACCAACCAGATGGCGACCTTGACCAGCAATGCATCATTCGTCGTTCAGGGGTGCCATCGCACAGCATGTCTTGTTGAAGAGAATGGTCCGAGACTCTCGGCACCAGATAAGTCGTCCGACAAAACGCCAAATCCTCCCGAAGCAGCGAACCAATAGACCCTGCATGCCTCCATCTTTACCTGGGCCTCTTTAGTTCGGAGCTAGTTGTCAGGCGAACGGCTAGTTCCCAGACGTGCAGCGGGAGCCGGCGGCCGGTGGCCCACGGTTGAGCGAAAAATCGGCACCTGCATTTTGCTTTGGATCTGGTACTCCGTCGCATGTCTGTCCCCTAGACATGTAAGTTATGCCATCCCGAGTGCTTATGTGTGTACATATGTACGTCGCAAGGAGCAGACTAGACCGGCATTTACATGGCTCTGGTGGCCATGTGAACACCATGCAAGGCACCATGACGCCACCGAGAAAACACTGTTCCAATCTTAGATAAACGGGTTGATGCTTGTCAGGAGCATCAACATATCGAGTTGGGATACTCAGCCGCCTCAACAAACAGGGTGGCAGTTCAATCCATCATTCAGCCATCCCAGCCATTGGGCTCACTCACTCACCTGTGTTCTTGTCGATAGAACATCATCTAGGCCACCGAAGACATCAGCCCTGTCAACTGGGCTGTTTTGTAACAAAACATGGGACGACAGCGGGCACGGACCCTTGCCGCCACATTTTCATCCTACTTTTTGCTTCTGCCAAACTCCCTGCATCACGCAAGAGCGGTTCGACTCAATTTTCGCCTAAATAAATGCCACTTCCAGTTTGAGTTCTGCCACAACTCGAGTAAACTCACAGACATGACATGGGTAGAACTTCACATTTGGCCGCCGATACCCAGGGCCCTGATCTTAAGCGCCCGGAGCAGGGTTGTTTTCTTCACAAGCCCATTCCACAACCGCACTTTTCATACCTAGAAGACTGCGTTTAAAGATGCTTCTCCAAAAGGAGCATGCGGGCACACTTCTGGACCAGAAACCTTCATGGCCATGAGATTGACCACGTACAAGCGACAATCGCTGCTGCACGGAGAGGTAGAGATTGAGCAGGAATTCCAAATACCAACTGCAACGGTGACGGCTGGTCAATCTTAGACGACTCAGACTACTTCCTTTGTAGGAAATTTGGCGGCCGTTCACCATTCTGCAAGGGACATAAACGCACTACTTTGCTCATTCCAAGGGGGGTTCACACCCCGCGTGACGTCAAATCGTAATCAAAGCGCTTTATCACGGAGCAACAAGAAAACGGTGTTATCACATAACTACCTAGGTACCTAGGACAGGAATTGGATTGAATGCGAAGATCATAAACTCTCCATCAACATTCTGCGTCTTGAGCTTCACTTTGAAACAAACATGACGAAATTTAACTCCTTCCTCCTCGCAACATCGATCACTCAGCTTACATTGCCTCCGGACCTTCCTACGCTCTCAGGAAATTTCCAGCTCATAGCGCATGTCAAGTCTCCCAACATCACCAAGTTCACGGCCGGCATTGAAAACTGGGAGGTGGCATCACTGCCGGGGCCCGGCTGCCATGAACCCCTTTCGCTGAAGAAGCCTAGCGATAACGGCACAGCCAGCGGCACCACGTTCTGGTTCAACCCGGAGACGACGGGCATCGCGTACGGCGATGGCGAAGACATGAAGACTTTATCCGTTCCAAAGGGAGGACACGGCGAACGCGCACTCAGCATGGACTGCAGGAGGGGGACGCCCGGAGTCAGAATCGTCCCGCGGGAAGATGGGCCGCAGCTTGTGTACGGGAGCAACGGGACGTTTTACGTGTGTCCACGGAGGGTACGCGCCCAGGGGATAGCGCAGCTGCTGTACCGAGAGAAAGACGAGCTGTTGCCATACATGTGTGCGGACGTGGCGCTGTTTGCGAAGTGGGCGAAGGGCAGGACGAGGGGGGACGAGTCCGTCGTGGATTGCTGCACGGATGTCCGCGACGGGGTCTGCACGTTTCCCCCTCAGCCTCGGTAGATGGATGGTGGGTGTGATTTTTTGTCAATGTTCGCTTCGTGGATTATCGCGTGTTGCTGGCCCCCTAACCAGCCTGATAAGCGTGTATTCTAACCTTTTTAGCGTCCCCGTGAAAGGGGCAACTTAATTCTTAGTGTTACTAATACCTTGGCCCTCTTGGCCTCGTCATATGAGAAAAACGATCTATTTTTATGGCTTTGCTGCTGCAGATTGGCGTCATCATTTTGTGCTTGTACGGCCCGGTCCACGCCCCAGGATTCGGCACTTTTAGACAAGCACTTTCTTGGGAGAACAAGAGTAGAAATAGTGAGATTTAGCGGCTTGGCCTCGCATTAGCAAGTTGTCCTGATGGCGTCACTGTACTAAGCTGTCCGCCAGTGTTGCATTGCGCTTCTTTCGAGAGAATGGTCGTTTCCCCGGGACGGACTCATCGACTTGTTGAGTGATGCGCTTTCTACGCAGCTTCCTTGGTACGGCCGGAGGGGGATGCGGCCATCAGATAAATGACTTCTAGCCTTGTACCGCGGAATGTCTGTCCTTGCCGTTCTTACGTGACTCTTTGATTTGCCGTTTTGCCTGCTAGTAGATGCATGGGCACCCTGCTGATTCGAGGCTGTCATAATTTCGTTGTCCTTTCGAGTTGCTGTCATACCTTGCGATGCGATTTCAATGACGGGAAGCTGCCACGGGACAGCAAATAAGTTGCAAACATCTGCATACACTCATACCGGTGGGTAAATAAACAACGCCACGGACTACTCGCTGGATTCAGACTGTTCTTCTGTATACTTCGCGCTGGACATCCGCCCAAGCATGACATGACAACCCATCCATACTGGTTCGAATTATTCTGGTGCAATTTTATCCAGTTCGTAGTACCTGTATTCTATTTGATTCTCTTTGTAGGCTTCATCTCGCAGCCCGATACCCTGGCCTTCTTGTACAAAACACCGAGTTCTTTGGCTCTCCTCAGGGTGGACTCTGAACTGTTAGTGTTGTAAAAATTTTAAATCTGTATAGAAGTCAGGTCGTGCCAGTAGTTGTATCAGAATTCGACAAAGACATTGGGCTGGCTGGAGATGGTCGCAGCTCTTGCGTACAACTCTTCCTCGGATTCCTCTAGCAGTGTATCAAAGAACTCGACCATTTTTTCGTCTTCGAATACATTATAGCTGTCATCCCCGAAGATGAACTGCTCAGAGTACCGGTTGCTGCAGCAGGCATTTCCCATATCCAACATGTCGAATGTGAAGAATCGCATGGCAGCGATGTGATCTTGGACGCGCAGGGTGGTGTCCAGACTCATACGTCGCAACACCTGCAGACACCCCGAAATAACGTCCTGGCTTTTCTTCAAACAGGTCTGGTACTTCAAACTCCTCAAAAGATAAAAGAAATGGTTCCTCATTTTCTTTAGAAAACATTTAAACGGAGTACAGCCTCTAGATAAGCATCTGCATGTGTAGTTGTCGGTCAGCCCTAAAGGTACTTGGGATTTTATGAACCAGAGCTTCCGTCGACCCAGTAAGGGTAGATAGATGCCCACGCGGGACTTGAGATAGAGTACTGGGGAGTTGCATGAATGCAATGTGACCGAGTCCGTCTATTGGGAGCTGTATGCATGAGCGCTGCAACACACATCGCTCCACAAGATGATACACACACATCCCATCTGCCACACCCTTATATGTAATTTGCGTGTGCTTAAATGGAAATCACAATATTTACTTGTTTTCGTGTTAATTGAGGGCATCGCGATATGGGCTGTGCAGCTCCATTCGCACCGCCGACTACCGTGGCAAGTCATGGCAGCAACGCCAGCCTGTTCTTGATGGAGAGAGAGAGGTCAGAAGGGCTCAAGGTGACAGGTTACGACAGGCTGCAACGCACAGAGATTCAGCTTGGCATCTGAGCTATCCATAGCAAAAGACGTCGTGTGACAGGCGAACGAAAACCTGTTCGATACGGCGACAAGGTGGACTGCCGTATCGTATGCGTTCACGCGCAAGTTTTCGCGCCACAGCGCCTTCCCTTCTGCATGGTAAGGTGCAAAGCTGATGTTGTCTGGTCCAGGCGCACTTCAAGTGGCTGAAGCTTCTGGCAATTAAAAGCGTAGCTTAGCTTCTTGGCTTGCTCTTTATCTTCTCTGCCCACTTTGGCTCCATCGCGTCACGGCCTGCCAGCTTTGCCACTAAATCCTCCAGAGCTTCAAGCTCCGCTTCGAATGAGATGAGGTATTCTGCCACGGCTGCTGTCGGAGACACAGGCTGGGTGCGTACGCGAAACCGCGACTAGTTGATTCCGGTGAGACGTCCGGTGAGGAGGTCCTTGAGAGCTTTGTTCTTTTCTCTGACAGAAGCGAGCTCCTCACTGCGGCATTTGATGGCATCGAGGTATGTTGTGATGCTGTCGTATATGTCGAAGCCAAAGGAGACACCAACTTCGGCCACAGTAGTCGTGCGTTTGCCGGCGTTCAACTGCGGAGTCAAGGCTATGGGGATGATGCATATGGTTACCAAGGAAGGAACGGTCTTGGGGGAAGGAGGCACTGGCATGGAGGGTAAATTAACCACACCGTGGCTCATGTTCTCTGCGCGAGGCTTGGTGGCCAACGGAACTTGGACTTTGGGACCATCTTTCCCTGTCGGTGTCAACAAGAATGGACTTGACCCTATTTCTTCTTTCTCCTTCCGGTCCCCATATCCACGGGCCCTGGCCTTTGTTTACCTGGTTTTCTCAACCTACCAGTTGACATCGTAGTCGGCATGGTAAATATTGCGGTCTGCACGAGTCTGTTTGTTAGGAGCTATATACATAAGCGTTGTAACGGCCAGAGCAACAGCAGCAACAAACAGACTCCTGTCAATAGCAATTGTTAGTCGATCCAGCGATGTCGTTCTACTACAAAGGCCCTGCCCCTTTCCCCCTCTCTTAGTACTTAAGTAGGCTATCCTGGTCGTGGTGGCAGTTATATCAACTATCTCTTGTGGGTTGTTCTAGTGCGCTTGTTCCTGGATAAGTGTTTTAGCGCGGTTGCTAGCGTTGTTGGCAACCAGACCCTTTTGTCGCCGTGTACATGTATTGTCTGGTATAATCGGATACACCACGGACATGTACCAAGCCAGAACGTTGGGTACTTTATGCTTGGGGCCCGTTCAACACACCCCAGGGGTTCTACTACCGAAATAACCTATCAGTTGATTCTCAATAGAAATGCCAATAACAACTTGGTTTTTATCGAGCGCGAGGGCCCCATAATCTCTTCCCTGATTGCAATATGAGCAACATCTTTTTCATGCACATATTTTTCCTACACTCGACCTTTTTCTTCGTAGGCCGTGTGCATTTCCAGTGCAGCGTACGCTTTCTGCCAAGAGGGTAGAGGAACATTTTGCCGGTGTTTATTGGTGATCGTTTGCGCGTATGTTCTGGGAAGGCGGGAGGCTGTGTTGCCGTTTGGAGCGAGAAAGTGTCGATTAGGACTCACAGAAGATCTCGCCAAGAGTGAGCCTTTTGATGGGCAAAGGGAAGTAATTTGGACATGTTGCACTTTATGACATGTGGCCGAAATGTCTCGACTTCACCTACTGTTCAACCCATTTTCTGCGTTGCAGTCAAGTATTCGTGGCGTTCAGATGTCATTTTCGACATCAAACCGATATGGTCGCTGTCTGAATCTCTTTGATGCACAGTTGTACGGCAAAGGTTCATCAGATTGACAGCTTGCGCCGTGGCCTCGCCTTTGTTCTGCCAAACAACGGTTTTGAACTGTGCTGGAACAACACCCTTTGGACCCTTCCCTGCGTTGCTGTCCTTGCACATGGAACTGCGTCTTTGCACAGTTGTGTTAGGCAAAGTTCCCACGCCGACTTGTGTGAACACAGCCAGTTTAACCCAAGTTTGGGCGAGAACGCGCCAAAAGTATTCAGCATTTCAGGCACAACTTGTTGCAGCCACCGAACCGAGAAGCAACCATGCAGAGTGCATACGACTTTCCAAATCACTTCACATTGAAAGTGTCACGACGGGCTGTTGCAATGATGATGCAAATGCAGCCGCTGGCGGCCGTGTCCATGAGTATCGTGGGGCGAGATTAGATATATGCAGACCAGACCCATGGCATTATTCCGTATATTTTGAATGACAGCTTGTAATAGGTTTGCTGGACTAACTATTTTGAGCCAAAGGTCTGAGGCAGTAAGTAGGTGGCACTCAAAAATAAATATAGCAGCATATAAAGGGAAATGGCTCTTTTCGCCGCATCAACTCCCTGCCCTGATATACCTGAACCCTCGAAAACAATTTTACACCTCCATGCTCGTTAGCTCAACCATGACATAGGAGTGCAAGGAAACTTGACTCGAACTCACCTAGTACACTACAGGGCCCCATTCCTCCACTCCATTCCCTGGCACTCCTTCCATGCCAAGGTCATTGACTTGCTCTTCTTCTTCGATAGAGATTCTGATGTAGATTATATCCGTTTGCTATTTATTCCCGAATTATGCAATGAGATCAGCCACGTTCATGGGCATTTCATCAATCTGAGTTGAGTAATACACTGCGACATGTTAGCACTGCGATAGTATCAAGAGGCTGAGTTGACCTACACTCGATATCTCTCAAGATGCGCACATCTTCGGTCGTAACAAAGTTGATGGCTACGCCCTTGCGACCGAACCGGCCACTTCGGCCAATGCGGTGGATGTAGTTCTCACGATTGCTAGGCAAGTCGTAGTTGATAACTAGACTGACTTGTTGCACATCGATGCCACGGGCCCAAACATCGGTTGAGATGAGGACTCGACTGTTGCCCTGCCGGAAGTCCTGCATGATGCTGTCCCGTTCCTTTTGCGGCATATCGCCATGCATGCTGCTGACGGTGAAGTTGGCCTCGCGCATCTTGTCGGTGAGCCAGTCAACCTTGCGGCGCGTGTTGCAGAAGATGACGGCTTGTGTAATAGTCAGGGTATCGTACAAATCGCACAGGGTATCGAACTTCCAATCCTCCTTCTCCACGGCAATAAAGTACTGTTTCAGACCCTCGAGGGTCAGCTCATCACGCTTGACAAGAATTCGGACAGGGTCGGTCATGAACTTGGTTGTCATGTCCAACACGTCGTATGGCAGGGTGGCGCTGACAACCACGACTTGTGTTGCCGGGGGCAGGTATCGGTAGACATCGTAGATTTGTTCCCGGAAACCCTTGTTAAGCAATTCATCGGCTTCGTCCAGTACTAGCATCTTGATGTGCCTTGTTCGCAGGTGGCGTCTCCGAATCATATCGGCAACACGTCCAGGGGTCCCCGACACGATATGCTGACCATAGTCGAGCTTGCGGATATCTTCGCCGACGTTGGTGCCACCAATGCAGGCGTGGCATTGGACGTTCATGTAGTCACCAAGAGCCATAACGACGGATTGGATTTGAGTAGCCAATTCACGGGTCGGTGAAAGGACTAGAGCCTGTGTTTCGCGCACGGCAGTGTCGATGACCTGCAGCATACTAATCGAAAAGGTCGCCGTTTTGCCAGTGCCTGACTGTGCTTGTGCGATTGTGTCGCGTCCCTTGCACACTTGGACGATGGCTCGGGATTGGACGGCAGATGGAGATTCATAGCCGTACGCATAGATGCCACGAAGAAGGTTCTCTATGTTTCGATATCAGTCGTTACTCGTCGGGACTCGACAAGTCATCTCCTGCTGGTTGTCACTCACCCTTCAAAGACATCGACTCGAAAGTAGGGTGGACAGTGACTTCTTTGGAGGTGGAAAATTCCATCCTCTCATCCGCCTTGCGGTCAATTCCTCCGGCGCCTTCAGCCATCTTATTGGTAATATGTGTGATTGCGAAGATGGGATAAAACGGCGATGCGCTATGATGTCGAGATGAGCTTGAACAAAAAAAGTTCGGGAGCTGGTGAAAGGGCCGGGTTTACTTCGGCAGAGCGCGGATTGTCCGCCTCCACAGTGGCGCTGGGCTTAACGAGGCTGGCCAAACTTTGGCTGAAGCGGCAAAAGCTCTACGACTTCGCGACCAGATCTTTTCCGTTTTTTTTGTCGCGACAGCCCACCATAGCATCACAAGCGTATCAATAGCGGCTGTCAAGATGTATGTTTTAGAAGAGCAAAGATACATTCATGAAGATCTTGAACGCCTGGAACAAGGCATCGCTGATCGCGTCCGCGAGGAGCCAAAGCCTGTGAGTAAATGCATTCGTGAAATAGTTCACCGAATCAAACTAACCTGATTTATTAAAAAGATTCGCGACCGACTAAACCGAGACCATGAAATTGCCCAACTCCTCGACCAGATCCAGAGACAGTCAAGTAGCCTGTTGAACCTGTACAAAGACGAGAACGGAACCCGAGCAGGAGAACTCCAAGAACTCAACACTGGCGATCCCTTTGATGCATTTTACAAACAACTTGGCGACATTCGTGAGCACCATGCCAGATATCCCAACGAGCAAGCGGAAAACTCGGAACAAAGATATAAGCAAAAGAGAGGCGACCCGTCCGCGCCTGTCGCGACAGTTGTGGACACAATCTTCTCCGGAGAAGAAGCATTTGGGCGATTCTTCGACTTGCATACATGTTATGACTCATTTTCAAATCTACCTAACGTCAAGCGACTTACATATTTGCAATATTTGGAGTATTTTGACAATTTTGCTGCTGGGTATGGTGGAGTCAAACGAGGCGACAAGATGACGGATCAGTATTTCAACTATGTTGGAGAACTTGCGCAATACCTCGAAGATTTCATGCGAAAAACGCGCCCTCTAGAGAATCCGGACAACATTTTATCAGGCTTTGACGAAGAGTTCGGCAAGCTTTGGGAGAAGGATGAGATTGAGGGCTGGCAGATCGAGTCAGCAACAAACGGCTCAAAAGCGATTCTGACGGACGCCGAGGCCATCTGGTGCGAGGACTGCGAGAAGGAGTTTAAAAACGAAAACGTGTACAAGAACCACCTAACTGGGCGAAAACACGTCAAGGCAGCTGAGCAACGTAAACAACGGCAGCAAGATGCCGCGGCGGGGTCAGCAGATTCGAAATCAGTTGTCGTTTCATCGACAAGATTAAAGGAGAGGGCCATTGCCGAGCGTGAATACCGAGTCAAAAAGATGGCTAGCTTGATGAATACGGAACGAAGCGATACCCGCGTCAACGTCGAACGAAAACAAGGCATGACAAAACGCGAACGAGAACAGGAACTTGAAAATCTTCTCAACGCTTCCGACACGCCACGAGAAGCCGCTGAAGACGGTGAAGGAGAGGGCGACGACGACGAAGACAAGATCTACAACCCTCTCAAAGTTCCATTAGGCTGGGACGGCAAGCCGATCCCCTTTTGGCTGTACCGACTGCACGGGTTGGGCGTAGAGTTTCCCTGCGAGATTTGCGGCAACTACGTGTACAAGGGCCGACGAGCATTCGAGAAGCATTTCAACGAGTCTCGCCATATTTACAACCTCAAATGTCTCGGCATTACCAATCCGACCCTATTCCGGGACATCACCAAGATGGACGAGGCCGTCAAGCTTTGGGAGAAGATGCAGAAAGAGAAAAAGAAGTCGAAGCTGGATGAAGGCAGTGTCGTGCAAATGGAGGACGGAGAGGGCAACGTGATGCCCGAAAAAGTGTACTATGATCTACAAAAGCAAGGGTTGCTGTAAAGACCAGGGGAGCTATCATCTATACAGTGTGTAATGTAAGTAGTAGAAGAACGCGACGTAGTATAGGCAAGACAAAACCGGTGTA